GCTACTCATAGCAGCATCACTTATGGGTAATACCTAAGCTTAACAAAATAAATAGATAATGGGAAGGCCAGATCCAGTTTATAATGTTTAATGAAGGTCATTGGAGAAGACCATGTGGCTGCCCTGCAGATATCATCCAGAGGCACCTCTGCCCAAATTGCCCAAGTCGTGGATAGAGATCTAGTAGAATGGGTTCTAATCTTGGTGGAGGTATGTTATTCTTCCGGTATACATCTGCTATGATTACCGTAATCCAATGTCTGAGGGTTGAAAAGGAGGCTGCTTCTCCTTTCCTTGACCCGGAGTGTAGTGTGAACAGTTTCTCAGATTTCCTAAATTCTTTAGTGATCTCCAGGTACTGGATTAAATATTCTCGAATATCTAGTTCATGTAGTTTTATTTCTTCTTGAGATTGAGGATTGTGAATGAAGGATGGTATCACTACCTCTTGTCCCAAATGGAAATTGGATACAACTTTTGGCAGAAATTTCTGCATAGGTTTGAGAACTACTCGATCATGGAAAATAAAGGTATGGGAGTCTGCTGATGAGAAAGCCTGAGGTTCAGAAATGTGTTTAGCTGTAGTAATGGCCACCAAAAAGACTGTTTTATAGGTGTGAACCTATGTAACCTGCTTCTGACATGCTGTCAGCCATTTTGCTGTTTGTCTGCCATCTTAGAGTATAATCAAAGAAGAATATTTATTTGAATTATATGCTGAAGAGAGCATATAATTTTTCTGTTAGCCGTTGCCAGGACGGGGGAGATGTGTGATCAGTAGTGATGTCCCCAACGGTTCGCCGAACGGTTCGCCGCGGACGGCGAACATAAACATAAACTTTGACCCTGTACCTCACAGTCAGAAGACACATTCCAGCCAATCAGCAGCAGACCCTCCCTCCCAGACCCTCCCACCTCCTGGACAGCATCCATTTTACATTCATTGTGAAGCTGCATTCTTAGTGAGCTGTCCAGGAGGTGGGAGGGTCTGGGAGGGAGGGTCTGCTGCTGATTGGCTGGAATGTGTCTGATGACTGTGAGGTACAAAGTTTATGTTTATGTTCGCCGTCTGCGGCGAACCATTCGGCAAACTGTTCGGGACATCACTAGTGATCAGCTCTAGAAGAGGTAGCTAGATTTAAATGTGTTAGCTTAGATTAGGTAAGAATAGGATTATTTTAAGGAAGTGTATGTAGTAAGACACATGAAGTTTCTTGTGTCATTACTGTGGTCAAGCCATCTGTTAGAAAGATCTACTGAACATGTATCGTGACCCCTAAGCTTTTCGTGACCTTAAACTATCAGTTACACTAAAATTTAGCCAATAGGAAATGTGACCATATTTGGAGTTCTCATTGAGCTAAATGGAGGGCTATTTCCATGTTTAAAGTATAAGAGATGAGGAAAAATATAATGTGATTAAGATTGCCTCTTGCTAATCCCCAGAGATATATCCTGTGTATCACTGGTCAATTAAAACGTTTTTATTATTGAATCTGGGAATATTTTTTTCTACTTCCACATAGGTAAGGAGTTGTATAGAAATCTGTGAGAGGGGAGCATATGGAGGTTCCGTTAAAAATTGTAGGACTAATGGAAGATTCCAAGGAGGAGAGGAATTTCTTGACGGAGGAATAATCCTGATTGCTGCTTTGAAAAATCTTGCAATAAGTGGATGAGTTTTCCAGAATATTTTGTGATTATGGGACATTCAGAGTGCTGAGGCTTAGTCCTTTATCTGATACCAAGGTCTTCTTGGCCATGTGAGAATTATGGCAATGATCTGTTTCTCTTCTTTGTCAAGTTTCTTCAAAAGGCGAGGTATGATAAGTAGGGGAGGTAACACTTACCCCAGATAGAAGTTCCATGGTTGTGATAGAGTGTCTTGACCTCTTGATAGAGGGTCTGGAATCAGAGATTAAAATTCCCTTACTTACTTGAGCATTCCTCCTGTTCGCCATGAGGTCGATTTGGGGAATGCCCCCCTTCTTGTAATCATCTTGAAAATTTCTGGATGAAGACTCCATTCTCCTGGATAAACATTTTCCTGCTCAGATAGTCCGCTAAGGTGTTGTCTACCCCTGGAAGGTATAGTGCCTTTAGACCAATGAGATGCTTCTGAGCCAGATTCATCAGGGGTTTCATCGCAGAAATAAGATGCTTGCTTCTGGTGCCACCCTGATGTTTGACATATGCAGCCACTGCCCTGTTGTCTGTGTGAGTCAACATGATGTAATAATGGAAGAAAAGCTTTCAGATCCTTGTAAATCATTATCAATTCTCTTAGGTTGGAATGAATAATCTTCTCCTGTAGAAACCGTTTCCCTTGAGTCCAGGTCGAGTTGAGATGGGCTCCCTAACCTTTAAGGGCTGGCATCCGTCATTATTGTGAGCCAGTCTGGTTATTCCAAAGGAAAACCTCTCTGGAGATTGTGAAGTGATAACCAACACTTTAGTTGGTACTTTACCTTTGGTGGAACCACAATATCTTGATCCGCATTTGATCTGTGACAATATTGAACTGGAGGAGAAAATGTGTTTGGATAGGTCTTAAGTGCCACGGGGCCCATTTTACCAGACCTATGGTGTGTCACGTACTCATCCGCTTATAAAAAATATGGTTAATGACATTTACTGTCCACACAGGAAAAGTTGTGCCGAGCAGCAACCAAATCCACAGAAGGGTTAATGCTGAGCAGCAATTATGCAAATGGAAACCTGGTAACTGCCTTTTGGGGTCAAAGGCCAGTTACAGACAATCAGACCTAGAGGAGGGGTATTTAGGCCCAGTTCTCATCCTGCTCAGTGCCCTGTTGTGGTTTCCCTTGTGGTTGTCCGAGAGCGCGTTTTTGATTCTGGTAATTTTGGTTATTTAACTTTGACATTGTTTTTGACTTCTCTGTTTTCTGGCATCCCTGACTCCTGGCTTTTCCTTATCATTGTGTCTCTTTCTGTTTCCTTTGACCTCGGCTATTCCTGACTATTCTTTGGTACGTTAGTCCGGCCATTCTAAGGTCTGGTATACGTTACCTATCAGTCCTCTGTGTTACACAATTCTACGTGCTGGATCATTC